TGAAACTCCCGATATTATTCACAATTTTAATTGTAAAATGGGCACGATGCCCAACACCGTTGACTATTAAATTCATAAATCTCTCTCTCAGCGGTCCAGAAATACACGACGTACCACTACGAGTTACTGACGCATTTCTGTTTAAACTCAAGACTCATACCATCATCTCGTTTACCTTCCGTGCATAACTTTTGTCTGCCATTGAAACTAACTGCCCTCTCCCTCTTAGTTTTCACCATTAAGGTCTTACCCGGGTGGGAGTGAAGTTTCTCGTGATGCTGGCTCAAGTTTCTCGGTTTTATGGATCCACACAGCGTCTCTGACTGTCAATTTTCATACTGAGATGTATTACATCTGGTGAATTGAATGGGGAGAAATGTAGTTTGGAGTTTTGGGGGCATTCATTTATCAAATTGGAAGCAAAATTACGACCAAATTTTACTCTTAACCTCCAAAATTGGACAATTCGTGTCAAATAATGAACACACAAATAACGATAAAAATATAATGCCGCAATCACAATCATTGTCTCTCCTCTTTTTCAAACTAAAATTTATTGTAGCACAGGGACTCGACGATCCCCCACAACAATTGATGTTCTCATCGCATTTTATAAAAGCTGTTGAGACAACCGACAACGGCCAATAGAAATCTTATGTTAAAAAATGGTAGGTCATTGATCATTTAATGTAATTCAAAATGACTTTAACATTTTGAATTTCTTCAAATATTATCTACGAACATTCACTTTTATGAAATACGCTTATAGACATTCTGTGTTGAGTATTATCGAAACAACAATTGTAAGCAGTTTTTTATACAGTAAACGACCCTCAGCCAGGCGTGGTTCGAATAATAATCATAATAACAACAATAATAATGAATAGTAATTATTTAACCATTATAATAATAAAAATAATTTTATTATTAGAATTTTACAATAATTATTAACAATTAGAAAAATTCACAATTAATTTATTATTATTATTATTGAAATGAAAGATTCTAAGTTGTTGAAAAAGAATTAATTATTTGTTGAAATAATTTTCAAACATTTTTCATAATCGCGACTGAAACTTTTTCTCCCTCTAAAGGATTATTAGAGAGGGAAGGTGGAGGCAAGAGAAACCCTCAGAATTAGGTGCCATGAAAAATCCTGCCAGTCATCGTCGACGATAAAATTCATCGTTTCTCCCCCCCCCCCCAGTGGGATTCCATTCTCCGCAATTTTTTTGCCCTCCTCGATTTTTTTTCTACTGTTCACTTCCACGGCCATTCGCTGGGAACACAACGGGAACCGTCGATAAAACTGGTCCCGAGACACGTCACAGGCTTTTCCATGGCAGGGCCATCAAATTAAATGTCTACTGGACGGACGTGGAAAATTCAATTTGAAGAGGGGTAAGGGGTGGCGGAAAAATGAGGGAGTGAAGATGGAAAAATTCACTTCTTGTGGTATTATCTGGAGTGATTATACGGAGGGTTATCAGGTGGAAGGAATTTATTGAGATGGATTCAGAGATTTTACTCGGAGGCGATGTTTACAAAACGCGTGACCCTCGAGACCCTGAGTCTTCCATCTGCGGACAGATAATTTAAATTGATTACTGAGGCTTTTAGGTTTTTGTGACTCTCGTGACTCTGAGTTTCACGAGGGTCTGCAAGGTCTTGAGGCGAACAACACGGTCGTGTCACGCATCAAGTACGTGGTTCGATGATAGCTCAATTGGTAAAAGCATTAGCCCAGTAATCTGAAGTTTATGAGGTCGAATCGCATCCTTGTTTCTCCTAGACACGAGAAATAAAGTCAACATCATTCAATCATCTGTCGATGGCTTGAACCAAAATGACACGAGGGCTAAACTATAATGTTTGAGCTTTATGAAGATTAAAATCGTACGATTAACCCCCATAAGAATCTATATATCCCTCAGTAAGAAATCTCATTCGTCTGACGCCCGAATTATGGCAATAAAATTTCAGGATGATCGACACGGCAGTGTCACGCGTCAAGTACTGCATCAGCCTAGTAATCTGGAGGTTATGAGGTCGAATCCCCCCATATTTCTCCAAGACACGAGAAATAAAATCAACAAGATTCAATCATCTGTCGATGGCTTGAACCAAAATGACACGAGAGCCAAACTATAATACTTGACACCTGCATGAAGATTGCAATCGTATGATTTATCTCCACGAGCGTCAAAATATCCCTAAACGAATGTAAAAATCTCACACGTCTCAAGCAATCATATTGCAGCATAGTCCGTTAACGACACGGTAGTGTCACACGTCAAGTACATATTTCGATAGTTCAATCGGCAAAATCGTCAGTCTAGCAATCTGAAGGTTGTGAGTTGGCATTCCGTCCGCCTGCACATATAATTTCAATTCCTCATTTATTCAAGACCCACTTCTACTTACGTAATGAATATTTGATGTTTCCTCACTAGGTTAAACACCCGTGAAATTGGTCTCAAATATATTTCCTCCTCGTGCCATCTTCCGCAAATAAGACTCATTCCAAAAATTAAGCACCTGAATCGTTTTCTTCATTTCCTATGGCATATCTCCCCGCTCAAAAATTCATATTCCAACATGAAAAAAACCGTGAAATACCTCCTTCCTCCAAAATTTCCTCTCTAAATAAATCGCATCTCCAGCTTCCAGAATTACCCTCCTAAAAGGTCACTAAAACCCTTTCAACAAAAAGATAAAAAACCCTCCCGGAAGCTAAGAACAAGGTATTTTCGTTAACTTGGGAGCACCTCAACTTCCTGGAATGCACTCTGAATAAATAACAAAGTTTCATCTATTCCCGTGTATTCCCTAGAACGTCGAACTTTGAACCTTTAAGGAAGGGTACGCGCTCGTCATCAGGTATATGTCACAAGAGCTTCTCTCTCTCTCTCGAGCGAAATAAGTAACTGGTGATGTAACTTGAAAATATAAGAAACCGGCAGTGATTTTTAATGACAAATTGGCAGTAATTACATCTGAAAAATCGGACGAATATAGGAAATCGAAGTATAAGAACTAAGTGGTCACCAGGAGGCGCCAGCTCCCATTTCTTATACACCGATTTCTTTATATCTTATACACTGATTTCTTATGTTCACACATCATTTCTTTTATTGTTTATAAATATAGTATGGAGTTTACAATTAAAGTAACTGTTGGGAGAAATGAAAATATAAGACAGAGGAGATGCTTTTTTTCTTCCTCATTAAATATAAGTAACTAGAGCAATAAGAATTTTTTGATTCAAGTAGAGCTCAACTTTAATCAAGAATCTTTCATACTTGAAGCAAGTATCTTTTGTACTTGAGTCAAGTATTTTTCATACTTGAATCATGTGTATTTCATATCTGAATCAAGTGTCTTTCTTACTTGAGTCGAGTATCTTTCATACTTGAATCAAGTATCTTTCGTCCTTGAATCAAATATCTTCCATACTTGAATCAAATGTCTTTCGTACTTGAGTTGAGTATCTTTCATACTCGAGTCAAGTATATTTCATGCATGAACGAAGTATCTTCCGTACTTGAATCAAGCATCTTCCATGCTTGAATTAAGTATCTTTCATACTTGAATCAAGTGTCTTTCGTCGTTGAATCAAGTATCTTCCATACTTGAGTCGAGTATCTTTCACACTTGAGTCAAGTATATTTCATGCATGAACCAAGTATTTTCCGTCCTTGAATCAAGCATCTTCCATGCTTGAATTAAGATCTTTCATACTTGAATCAAGTGTCTTTCGTCCTTGAATCAAGTATCTTCCATACTTGAATCAAGTCGCGATCTACTTGAATCAAGATTTTTTTTTGAGTCGAGTATATTTAGTATTTTCCGTACTTGAATCAACCATCTTCCATGCTTGAATTAAGTATCTTTCATACTTGAATCAAGTATCTTTCGTCCTTGAATCAAGTATCTTCCATACTTGAGTCGAGTATCTTTCATACTTGAGTCAAGTATATTTCATGCATGAACCAAGTATCTCCCGTACTTGAATCAAGTATCTCGTACTTGAATCAAGTCGCGATCTACTTGAATCAATATTTTTTTTTCTGCAGTAATATAAATTGAAAAATATCCAATGGCCCGAACGAGAAAAGGTCGAGTGGTCGTGTGTCTACGATGTTCCGAACAAAGAAGTGGCTGTCAGCGGGGGGGTGGAGAGGGGAGAGAGAGGTACGTGTGCTAAAAACAGAAATGGCCATATTCGTTATGGATATTGGCACTCGTTTCGCGGCCTCACCTCGATCATCGTCCACTCTTTTTTTTTAAGTCTCGATAGGTGGTACCATCAGCCAAATATCGAATGATTGTGATAGAGTGAAGGCAGATATTGGAGACTCGATATTCCACGGTTTATCGACATCTCGCTTGACGTTAAATGATGCACCTGGGGATGATGGGAAAAATCAGAGGAGAGGGAGAGGCAAAATCGTTGGACAGTTAATTTTTTTTTATTAGGTTTGCGTGAGGGGGGGGGGATTTGGGGTGAATTACATGGGTTGCGAGGTTTTGAAGATGTTTGTTTTGATGAAGTTTGTTTGGGGAGAGATATTTCATGGAGTTTACTCGGGGGTTTATCAGGGAATGGGGGGAGTCATTTTTGACAGCTCTGGATTGCTGATTAAAGTTGATGGGTAACATCTCATTTCTTATGTTATGAGAACAGAAATGTGAGAAATCGGAGGCGTTTCGTCATGAGGATTCGGAGGATTATGCGAAATTGGGGGGGGGGGGGGGGAATTGGAGGTTCTAGAATTTTCTATTTTATCCATTTTTTCAACTTTTTCACAGTGAAAAGGGATGAATTGAGGGAGAATAGGTATGAATATAAGAAAGCAGAGTTTAAGAAATGGGGGGTTTTCCTCAGCACAACCTTTATTTGGGTTTATTCCGATCTAATGTTGTGAATTCTTCTCATGTTGCAGTGCGTCGAGCGAATCCAAGGAGACATGAGTCGAACGTGACGTCACAATGACATAATGAAGAGCCTGGTGGGGATCATGTGGATAGTGTTGGTTCTCATATCAGGTAAATACAAAAAAAAATTAATTTCCAGGGATGGTAGTTATTGCACGAGTAGCGTGCGGCTGCCGTGGTTGTTGGTTAGTACTTGGATGGGTGTCCGCTTAGCCCTATCTCCTCGAGTAGAAGTGCTGCCGTCAGGCGCGAATGTAGGGAACTACTGTGCCAATCTAGTCAGTATAACAGATGGACTGGGGGTTCCCGTGAGAACTCGAACATGACGGATATCTCGAACGAATGGAGAAAGTAAGGCGGTTTCCATGAGTACAATCGTCTTGCGTCGAATTTTCATGAAGCCCGCCTAACAAGCAAAAGAGGATTGAATACCATTCTATGAAACATGAATAAACGAATCATAATTGTCCAAATTATTTAGGTCAGAGGAAAAAAGGATAATTCTACTTTCTTAATATTACGTTTACTAAGGTTTTCTTCGAACAAAGTTGATTAGAACTAATAGCTAGAATTATGAGATTATCTCACATTTTTTACGTTAAGGATAGGAGAATCTGAATGCAATATAGTGAAAATGATGATCGATTTTTTCACTTTGAACAAATAATATTAATATCCAAATGCAAAATTTCTGATATGAATAAAAAGAAGCTGTGACTCAATATTCCAAATGAAGTATTAATTTTTAATTTGACGCTGAAAACACGAGATGACAATATTCTAAGCACGGAATTATATTGATGAGATGAACAACAGATTAATTGAATTACCGTGTCAACCAACTAAAAATTGATAACAGTGTGGGCGCGCACTTTTACCAGAGTATCAACAAACATTGAACTCCAGAAATTCACACTCTAAAGTGTGTTCTAGAAGAAATTTAATTGTTATTACGATTAAAATCTTATGCAGCGAGCATAGGAATTAGAACATGAGCAAATCATTTGTTGTAATATGAAAATTTAACAGCTGATAAATTGGGACAGATGAATCTCATCGGTCGTATTGCTTTCTGCAATGAGAATAATTATCAACAATTAATTTTAAAAAATTGAAGGGCATTAATAGTAATTTCCTATTAACAATAATAATTTTCATTTTGCTCTAAAACTGTGATGAGAAAATCTATAAAAAATGAATAAAAATGGCGTAAATTTGTCAAAAACCCTCCGTCAACAATAGTGATTTAGAAAAAAACATTAAAATCATCAAAGAATGAAAAAAAAACTGGCATTCATTGCCCCCTCCCCCCCCAATATTTCCTTGCGAGGATTAGCAACCGACAGTTCAACAATCCAATAGCCTCCGTCAATCGTAATTTACGGATGAAATCCCCGCAAAAACCATCAAAACCCATCACCACCGAGGATAAAATACCGTTCTGTGTGGGCTGTATGTACGAATATCAAACCGTATATTCAATTATCGGGATAAATTTCCGGGGATACCAAAATCGAGGACGAATTAATTGGGGCTGCGTCCGGTGAACTCATATATCCTATCATCCAGTGACAAATGTTAGAGTGGGATTTATCACCCCCACCCCTCCACCTCTTCACCACCCACAAAACCCGAGCATCGGTAGCCCCTAGTCTGTTCATCCAGAAATTGTGTACTTTTAATCAAAGTGCGAGTGAATAAAACAGGAAAAAAAATTCGCTCGAAAATTTATTTACAATTTTAATTGAAAAATGTTTGGCGAATCCCTTTGAACAATTTATTTTCTACAATTTATGTTTTTTCTTCCCGGAAAATTGTTTCCAGAGGCAACAAAACAAATTGACTAAATTAATTAAATTTAAATAATTTGACTAAATGAATGGGAAAATAAACGAAATTTAAATGAATCGAAGACAAATTGATCTTTAAGTTATAAATAAATTCAATTAGAGTTGCAGGAAATAGCAAAATTGATGTTTAAAGTGGACAATGGGATTTTGTAAATGAATGAATATAGTAATTGTTGCTAATAAATTGGCTATTTGCTTCTGAGTGGGTTCTCTTTTTTTTAATTCTTATTTCTTTTTTTAAATTCTTATTTCTATGTGTCTGTACCGCTCAGCGGGTAATACCGCTCACCCGATTTTCTCCGCAACCATCAACTTAAAAATTTCTTTCTGTTCCTGATCATGAAGAATTTGATGATAGGATGTGATTGTCGGAAAATTTTCACTTTATTTACCACTTTAAATATGGAAAAACACGTAACGAAGTTTTGAGGTCTTTACAGTGCAAAATTTGTGGACTTGTAATTAAGGTTTTTGATAGTTTCAAACGCTCAATTCTCATATTAAACTGTGGTTATTCGATTCGTGGTACTTTCACGCGTAATTTGAGACCAATTTGAACTCAAAACTCCACTCATGTCAATAATTATCAACAATTTTGTTGACGCCGAGCGAAGCCGGTAATACCGCTCATAGAATCCGCCACGTAATTGCTCGACAGCACTCGAGTACAGGTTAGGTTGCGGCGCGAGCGATACACGCAAAACCCTATGAGCGGCATTGAAATAGTGCCGAGCGGTATTACCCGACGGCGGGTAGTACCGCTCAATAGGCTCTCTCTTTTATTTTCAATCAATTTTGTGGATTCTAAGGAGAATTAGGCGTCTACACTTCGAGAATAACGAATTCAATAGTTAAAGAAGTCTCACAAATACGTTTTTCATACTCAAGTAGAAATATAAAATATAAAATAAAATTTTGAATCTGTATGAAAAATTGAATTTTAATTGGTGTCAATGAACAGAGCTTATTAAAATCTATATTCATGAAAAAAATCATGAAATTCGATTGATCCCTTGTGAGAAAGTTTTGACTTTTTGGATCATATTTAGTTACCCTAACACAAAAAATTGAAAACTTGAATTTAAAGGATGACAAAGCTTCCGTTCGGAAGCAATAAAAGTTGTTATTGGAAGGAGAAATGATGGAAAAAGTGAATGAACATTAATTGACTGTATAATTCAATCGTAATTGTTCCCCAGTTGGTGCAAAATCGAGCGTCAATAATTCCCCTCAGGCATTTCGCCACTGGGATGAGCTTAACGAGGATGTATTCCCCGGGGTACTACAACTGTACATAAACCCTATTCTCTCGTTCACGATTCGTTAAGTCTGAGACCTCGCCACTCTCCGCTAATGATCCAGATTCCAATTATTTTTCACATTTTTAACCAGTCGATTGTAGTAATTCGGGTAAATGAGCTGATAATTATCCCATTAAGAGGTAGTTTTTGGGAAAAATATGAGGGGAAAAATGCCTGACAGAGATCCTTACTTGTGGATAAAAAATGAAGTTTCCGCCAAAACATGATAATTTCTGTAGTAGTAATTCTCGTGAGACATTTAGGGGAGGGTAGGGCAAAATGGGACAGAGCGGGTTATACGGGATAGTCTAATTTTGCACAAAAAAATGAGAAATTTCTTAAAATCATAGAGATATTCATTGCTCGTGTAATTTGCTTCCTTTTTCCTCCTTTTTATTGATTTCTGATGGAATTACTGAAATGTAACTAAAGGTTGAATGAGCTTTAAATCTAGCGTAGCGTTTCCAGTCGTTATCGAGATATGAAATTAATATGAAATCTTAGTGTAGAACCTTTTCTAGGAAATTCATGAGAATTTATGGAGCAGAATCCGTGTAAAATGGTCGTATCTCCACTAATCTTCCAGATATTGATGAAAAAACTGTTGAAAACAAAAGTGGTCATATTAATTTTTTTTCAATGGAATTCTGGATCTCTATATACATTAATAATAATTTTCAGTATTTTTCGAATTCTCAACTATCCCATTTAGCCCCGTGAACCAAATTACGATAATCGAGTGAAAAATTATCCCGAATTATAACATTCGGCTCGAAACTAGTGATATTGGAAGAAAAATTGATACCTCTAGCGGTTTTATCAAGTGAATGTTATTGAGTTGTGTATATCTTTGTCCAATAAACACTTATAATCCTTCAGCAGGCGACACTTGCTCAATAATCGAAAATATGCATTCTACATAGTTTTTCGGCAGAGCAAATTTTTTTCTTCGAGGACAGTGATTTCTTCCAGGAAGATGAGGGGAATGTGTGTTCTGATTGTTGTTTTTCTTTCAGGATGCTCCGGAAATCCGGATGCGAAACGTCTCTACGATGACCTCCTATCAAATTACAACAAATTGGTGCGTCCTGTTGTCAACGTCACGGACGCACTGCAGGTTAAAATTAAGCTCAAGCTCTCTCAGCTAATAGACGTGGTAATTACGGATTTTGAAAATTTAAATAGCGAAATTATATCTCGAATTGATTCTGATGGGCTTCCTGCTTCTTTTTCAGAATTTGAAGAACCAGATAATGACGACAAATTTGTGGGTAGAACAGGTAAGATTGTTTTTGATTATTTTATTATAGCATTGGGTGAATTTACATGTGCGACGACTGGTGCTTAGGTTAAGGGGGCAGTTTGGGGAATCCCAGTGATACGCGACAGGGACGGGCCCGCGGGTAATTTCTAGGCTGTGAATCTTCTGAATCCAAAATTCCCTAGATGAGCGGGAAATCTGGGCGACTCGAATCAGTTTTGAATTGACATTCGAAGAGTCCACATGGGAGAGGAAAATGGCGAAAAGAAAAGTATTAAAAAGTGAAAAGTATTAAAAAGTCAGTAGTGATCGGTGATGAATACTGAAGAAATATATCAATTTAATTCGTGTGGGAGTCTCACGTGAGTCCCAACGCCCTTCATAACTCCAAGTGTGAAATAGTGATGTCGCGAGACATTTCACGAGACATCACGAGACAAAACTTTGGAGAGGCGATCTCGGTGTCAATGAACATGGAAATTTTTGCTCGCGTCTCAATCTCGAAATCCGCAGTATCGACTCCTCTCGCGATGGCTCCGAGTCAATTTATCTCATCTCGGTTTTCAGTTTTTTCGCGTTTTTTATATATAGAAATCCGAGGCGAGACAAAAACTGATATTTTACATTAAAAAATACGAAAAACCGAGATGAGATAAACTCACTCGAAGTCATCACGGGAGGAGTGTTGTCTCATAAAATGTCTCGCGGCATCACTAGTGTGAAACTTCAGGATCCAGAATTCCCTATTTCATTCTAGTAACTTTTGAGAAGCATTTTCATTATTCAATTCAATTCCTTTGTTGGCCACATCCCCTTCTTCAGTGAAGGGCAAGTGCCATGACTTCTCCAAAAAGTGTATTTAGCGCCATCTGTTCAATGTTTCGAAAAATTCAAATTCAGAACAATTTCATGTTTTCTTCTTAATTCACTGTCCAATGCTTGGGCGGCGACTCTAAATCCAGACAAATTCCCATGTTGTGGGAGTAAAAAAATACATAAAAAAAATTCCCCCCCCCCTAGACAGGACATATGATAAATGAGTAACAAAAGTATGAAACAGCATTTTCATTATCATAGGCCTTCCAACCAAATAGTTCACTTGGGTCTTAGTGGTGGGGGATATGGATGTAAGTGGGGGTATGTGATGGAGTGAACTCTTCAATCACGACGCAACTACATAAAAAAGTTGTTTCAACATTTTCCCCTGGAATCCCTCATTATGAAGCTGAGTATTATTCTCTCGTCAATTATAATCCATCAAAAAACGTTGTTTCTCTACTATACCTGAATTCTTGAAACTACGTACATTGAATTGAGATCTTTATTAACGCATTCGAGTGGCGCAAGTGTAGGTTTCGTGTGCTCGAAGTAAACGCAAGGAGTTAAAGGCGGCAAAGGCGTATGTGTGTTGGGTATACACATGGGAAATAGACTGGAGGGTTTGTTTGACCGAAACCACCCGCCAAAGGACCCTCATATCGAGGCTCGTGTGTGTGCACTTGCATTCAGATTGGTGGAATCGTGGACTGCAGCAGGATACGGGAGGAGGTCTTTTAAGGGTCTCAGGGCATCAACCCACGTCCGTGGCTATCTCCGGGTTTGTTTTATCTTCAGTCATTTCAGGGTTTATATTACGAGAGAAACGAGAGAAAAGTCGTTCGACACTTTTTCTACTTTGAGGTCTGAACAGAGGCTTTTTCTACTTAAAAATGAAAATTGCAAATTATTTATTTGGATATTGAGGAGTTTATGAGGACTCATATGTGACAGGAGGTATTAGTTTTCCCTTCACGTCGATACGATTTCCTGTTCTCGGGAATCTCGCGAGCTGCGTTAGGGAATTATTTCAAGTTATTTGTTGCAATATTAATTTATTAGCTTCCCGACCCGAAGGGAGGAAGTTATTGTAATGACCCCGAAAATAAAATGTTGAATTTCGATGATTTGTCCACATTTCGTGACCTCTAGAGTCATCCTGAAACGTTTCTGAACAAATGTATGTGTGTGTGTGTATGTGCGTGCGTAGCACCGTATGTGAGTGAAATTTTGTCCAACGATTGCTCCGGAACGAACGAACCGATTCAACTTTTTTTTTTATCGTTGCGTCTTCATGTAACTTAGAACTGATTAGATTATGGAAATGATTGCCTCAGCGGTTTTCCAGTTATCTGCATAAAACATGAGAAAATGTCAAACAACGTTACTTTTACTGAAATTCGACGATTTCATCTGAAATAACTAAAGATATATTTCTTTCGTTTTCATCACTGATCGCTATTGAACACTTTTTAATACTTTTCGCTCCGCCATTTTCCTCTCCGCTGTTGACTTTTCGAATGCCGACTCGACAGTAACTCCAGTCGCCCAGTTTTCCCGCTCATCTAGGGAATTTGGATCCAGAGGATTCGCAACCTAGAAATTTCCCGTGGGCCTCCATCTAATATCGCATGTCACGTGTTGCGCGACTCGATTTCCCAAACTGCCGCCCTAACTTCAACGTCAATCGTCGTACATGTAAATCCACCCTGTCTTCCTCATCCCACAAGACCTTAAAATCCATTTCTCCGACGGAAAACAAACGAGAGAAGAAATATGGAAATGAAAATGATGGAAAAAATTTAAACATCCATCTGAAACCCAGAGAACTGAATAAAAGTGAATAAGAGCGAGCCCATCGGTGCGTGCAACCCACTTTTCCTGACTGACGTGTATCCCTCGAGGAAGAACGAATCTCTACTTTCAATAAAACAAACAAATTCATTTCCAACAAGAAATATCAGAAAAATTATATTCCATCAGTTATTTAAAACTTCTCCAACAGCCACAACAATCGATAATTAATTTTTAATCAACTGATGGATACACAAACTTAATGAATTATCGAATCGATACTCCATAGGATAATAAATCCAGTATAAAAAAATAATGAAAAAGTCCGCGAAAAAATGCAATACGAGAAAAAAATTGCTCTGCCAAAAAACTATGTTTCACGTGCGAATATTTGATGAAATGGAGTAGATTTACTTGAGGAAAATTAACGAACTTAATAGAAGGAAATTCAATATCTTCCACAAAAATTGAATATTTATCGTGATCATCAGAAATATCCCTAGAAAAATTCGAACTGTTGGCAGGAAAAATAGTAGTTTTCGTACCTAGGACAATAAAGTATTTCCTGACGAATGTGACTTTATAGTCCGAGCCGCAGACCCGACACACGCGATTATAATCACATGAGTCAGGAAATACTTTATTGGCCGTCGGATGAAATGAATTTTATCTTTCGAGGCTCGAAAAACGAACGAAGTGAGGTTAGAATGAAGTTTTATCGGGCCTAGTAACGTAAATATAATGTATTGTACGATAATCATTTGATCTGAGAGAACTCCATAGGTTTATAGAAAGAAAATACATTGACGAGGAAAGAATATTTTTTTCCCAAAGAATTGTCCCCTCGAAATTATTTAACTTTTCCAATAACACAGTTATCGGCAGAACATTGTAGTTTCCTCTTGAAATTATCATTTGTTCCGTGGAAATTATAAGTGTTTATTGGACATAGATATACACAACTCAATAACATTCACTTGATGAAACCGGAGCCTCATATAATTCTCTGTAGAACGAATGTATTGACCCGAAAGACGTATAAATGTTTAACGACAACAATTGCTACTCCGAAAATTATCATGTTTTAATGGAAACTTTATTTTTTGTCCACAAGTAAATTGACTCAACACAACAAAAAATCTCTTCATGGGAGAATATAATTTTTCGGCAGAAGTAATTTTTTCTCTCAGTGGAGAAACATTTAAATGGTCGTTACCCCGGGTGCACACGAATGATCTTGAATAATTCGAAACGTTTGCACATGAAGTTAGTCGAGTATGAGAAACACTCTCGCTATAATTTGATTACCATAATATTTGTTCATTTGTGTGAGAAGTTGAATGTAGGTATTAATGGAGGCCACTTGGAGCTTTCGGCGGGGGAGGGGGTGGCGGTGGGAGTGGGATAACATCAAATATTTGGTAGTTTGAACAGGGTAAGAGCGCCCGGTGCCAATCGCGCCGAATACATTATCGATATTTGGTTATTCATGGAGAGCTGAACCGAAAAGTATCACTCAGACATTAATCTCAATGACACTTCAATTTTTTAATCATTAGACGTTTCATCAATATGAACTGAAAATTCGAGGGAATTCATTATGTCCGGGGCTCTTCGTTGATTATCGTCGGAAATAATTTTGGTGGGGTAAATTTTGATTTTTTGCTCCCGAAGGGGCGCATTGTATTCGTCGAATTGGAAATTTCGAATTTTTGGTGTCGAGATAACTAATTTAGTCTATGCCCGTACGCATGTGTATCTGAATGATCACTGAAGAAATGAGTGTGCAAATGAATCCAATTGTCAATTAGAATATTCTTCCCAATGCCATTTTGATCGAGTTCGATCATGAGATTTATTGCAACATTGGGGCAATATTGGCTGCCAACCTTAAGGTAATGTTGACAATCAATGTGGGGACAATGTCGGTAGCCAATGTTGGGTCAATGTTGGCTGCCAATATTGGAACATTGTTGGCTGCTAACGTTGGGGCAATGTTAGTTGCTAACGTTGGGACAATGTTGGCTGCCAACGTTGGGATAATGTTGGCGGCCGACGTTGGGACTATATTCGGTGCCAACGTTGGGACAATGTTGGCTGCCAACGTTGGGATAATGTTGGCTGCCGACGTTGGGACTATATTCGGTGCCAACGTTGGGACAATGTTGGCTGCCAACGTTGGGATAATGTTGGCTGCCGACGTTGGGACTATATTCGGTGCCAACGTTGGGACAATGTTGGCTGCCAACGTTGGGATAATGTTGGCTGCCGACGTTGGGACTATATTCGGTGCCAACGTTGGGACAATGTTGGCTGCCGACGTTGGGACAGTGCTCGGTGCCAGCGTTGGGATAATTTCGGCTGTCGACGTTGGGACAGTGTCCGGTGCCAGCGTTGGGGCAATGTTGGCTGCCAATGTTGGGACTATATTCGGTGCCAACGTTGGGCCAATGTTGGCTGCCGACGTTGGGACAATGCTCGGTGCCAGCGTTGGGATAATTTTGGCTGCCGACGTTGGGACAGTGTCCGGTGCCAACGTTGGGGCAATGTTGGCTGCCAGCGTTGGGACTATATTCGGTGCCAACGTTGGGCCAATGTTGGGTGTCGACGTTGGGGCAATGTTCGGTGCCAACCTTGGGACAATGTTGACAGCCAACATTGGGTCAATATTGGCTGCCGACGTTGGGACAATATTGGCTGCCGACGTTGGGAAAATGTTCGGTGCCAACGTTGCGACTTTTTGATTTAAAAAAATTCAATCCCTTATTTGGAGTAGCCGGAGACAATTTTGGCCGACAAAATCAGATTCCTGAGGAAAAATCTCACGGAAAATAGCATTTTTAATTTGTTTCCCCGAAAATAAAAAACAGAAAAAAGTTATTTTCCCGAAGTTCACTTCCCCTCAAGGATCGAGAGGTTGACGAGGCTCAACATGTTTTTTCTTTAAATTATTAATCACAGGTGAACACCAGATGCAAACGTCCTGATTCATCTAAACAATTTGTTCGGATGTGTCTGGAATTTTTCTCCCCCTCCTTTGTAATTCAATTTTCCATGTTTATATTTTTTCCGTTACAGTCGTGGTTTGACTACAAGCTCAAGTGGGATCCGGAGGAATACGGCGGAGTCCAGATACTGCACGTACCGTCCGACCATATTTGGAGACCCGATATAGTTTTGTATAACAAGTATGTTCAATAATTCATACCGGGAGATAACGAAAATTTTTATTATATTTTTATTTCTGATGAAAAACGCAGAGTGTCCGGTGGGAGTTAGTGGATCTGATTCAAATACCAATTAGATCTTCGTGGTTGTCGTTGAAAACGATTTTTAATTAAGTTTAAGGGAGACAAGGGAAAAATAAATAAGGTAACCCCGGCGCCATAGCCGGAGGGGCTACAAAAACATCCAAATTTCATTATTTTTTTTCTGGAGGTCGAGACCTACAAAAAATACGAAAAAATCCCCAATGATGCAGCAGATTCAGATTGTTCTCTTCTGAAAGCTTCAATTTTTTTTTCATTATTTTACCTTTTCACACGAAACACCATAAGAAGGCACCTTGTCTTGATGAAATGATGAGGTTGATGAGATTATGGTTGCAGTGCTGATGGAAATTTCGAAGTGACCCTGGCGACGAAAGCGACCCTCAACTACACGGGAAAGGTTGATTGGAAGCCACCAGCTATCTACAAGTCCTCGTGTGAAATTGATGTCGAGTATTTTCCATTCGACGAGCAGACGTGTGTCATGAAATTTGGCTCGTGGACCTACGACGGTTTTCAAGTAAGTGATCTAACCCCCGTCTGCCCCACCTCCTCCCGCGAGCCATAAAGCCGTGAATAATTGAAAATCCGGAGGCATGAACTCGATCTTCCCGAAACTCTGGGACATCTGGAGGAAAGGAAAAAATAGAAAAAGAGAAATTGCTTTTCAGAATGTAATTATGGAGTTATTCATCGTAATTTCTTATTCATCTTGGAAATATGAATGTTTCATAGAATTTTTTTTATTGGGAAATTATTGAGGTGGATTGCTAAAAATTCCAAAAGCCTATGTAAGAAATTTTACACGTTTATCATTTCGTGTTAATCCTTTCTGAAAAAATGCGAGTAATATTTCGAATCGAAAATGAGAACTCGAACATGGCGGATATCTCGAACGAATGGCGAAAGTAAGGTGGTTTTCATGAGTACAATCGTCTAGCGATTTTTTTTTACGGCCTCGGAGTCCCTTTTCGGGTCTCATTCGGCACTCTATCCAACCCTATGCATGCGGCTGTGGATTCTACACTGTACCGCATTCGCACTCCTATAGAACATAGAAGTACCATGGGGAAACCACAGAAAACCCATGCCGGTACAGGCGGTTCCTCTATTAGCAACCTCCCGCTCGCCGGGGCCTTCCGTTGAAAAATTCTGTTCCACGGGGAATCGAACTCACAACCTTTCGCACACTAGACTTGCGTCTAATCCACTCGGCCACCGACGTCGGTCTCGTCTTGCGAAATGAATACCATTCTATGAAACACGAATAAACGAATCATAATGGTCCAAATCATTTAGGTCAGAGGAAAATAGAATAATTTTTAATTATTTTAATATTTTTTTTTATTTTAATAATTTTTTTTCTCAGACTAATGGCGTCTTCATAACACGAAAAAACCAAAACCTAAATTTAAACAACTCCAAAACTCCTGTTCACAAGCAAAAACAAAAAAAAATGCAGTTGAAAACTGATATGAGGATAAAACACGACTACACTCGTCCTATAGTAGATCCTTCCACAGATGGAAATTCCTGGACATGCGGTGGCTGGATCCAGAGTCGTCCAGACATCCCCCCCTCCCTCCCTCAAAGTTCTCAGCGCACCAATCCTCCCCCCCCCAGTCCCCACTCAAACGACGTAATAAGGAAAATATTCCAATTTCCTATTCCCAAGGAATACGTCAAGGTCGGTACTCGGTATTTCCCGGGATCGAGCAGAATACTTTCACGACAAGAACATGCCCCCATACCTGTACATCCGCCTGGTCCTGTCACTCGATGGACAACTTATCTGCGATCATTAAAGGAGTATGACTAAACCCTAGTTGAGTCTTTGAGTGCAACGAGGAAAAATGAACTCCAAAAAATTATTCATCATTGATAATTTTTTCCATGAATTTCAACTTTGATCAGTGCAAGAAATTAATCCATCAAATTCATTTTTTAAGTATTTTTTTATTTTTTCTATTTCACTGGTTTTATCGAAGTAATTCTCGATTTGAAACCCCTCCTCTAGCCTGCCTCCCCTCCTTTCTTTTTCTCTTATTGCTATCTGCGGTGTCATGGCCGTCTTACTCTACTCTGAGGTGTGCCCCATTCGAGCTAGGACTGCACGGGAAACCATGTAAAACCCCAGTCGCACAGCCGGCCGATTGTGCAGTGCCCTAATATATCCATCTGACTCACACTGACTAGAATGGAGACACTAGCCCGCTACACCGTACCTACCGCCCGTAATTTTTGTGCGAGCGAGGTGTTCCTAAGCGGTCACCCATCCAAGTACTAACCCAGCTCAACGCTGCTTAGCCTGGATGTCCGCCGGAGCAATACCTCGCCCATCTAACTTTTTTTGTTTAACAATGTTTTTATTTGAAGTCCAACAATATTTACATATATACCGTATTTACATATATCAAAAACCAGTCTTGAAAAAAATTATAATGAGAGATATTTTGTTTGGTACATAAACTTTGGTCAAGTATTATTGACTCTCGAGCTTAATCAGTATTTTGTAGAACATATTATGTGTGTATAACAGTGTATCATTTTGTAGTTATAATTCTTCGAATTATTTTCATATTTAACAGAGTTTATGTGCTTAAAAAAAAAAAAGAGCAAGGGGTTGCTTTATATGAACATGGAGAAAAAAAAAGCACTTCAGCCTCACCCATCTAACCATTACAGTCGGTTTATCATTTTTGAAGTATTTTTTAAAATAACTGGCCCCACACTTAATATTTTTTAATCACCCTCATTTCAAAAAGCCATTCGACCGATGAGAATCATTTGTCCCAATTCATCAGCCGTTGAATTTTCATATTGCAATAAATAATTTGTTCATGTTCCAATTCCTATGCTCACTGAATAAGATTTTAATCATAATTACAATTCAATTCCTTCTAGAACACACTTTAGAGTGTGAATTTCTGGAATTCAATGTTTGTTGATACTCTGGTAAAAGTGCGTGCCCACACTGTTATCAATTTTTAGTTAGTTCACACGGTAATTCAATTAATCTGTTGTTCATCTCATCAATATAATTCCGTGCTTAGAATATTGTCATCTCGTGTTTTCAGCACCAAATTAAAAATTAAAACTTCATTTGGAATATTGAGTCACAGCTTCTTTTTATTCATATCAGAAATTTTGTATTTGGATATTAATATTATTTGTTCAAAGTGAAAAAATCGATCATCATTTTCACTATATTGCATTCAGATTCTCCTATCTTTAACGTCAAAAATGTGAGATAATCTCATAATTCTAGCTATTAATTCTAATCAACTTTGTTCGAAGAAAACCTTAGTAAACGCAATATTAAGAAAGTAGAATTATGCTATTTTCGTCCGACCTAAATGATTTGGACAATTATGATTCGTTTATTCATGTTTCATAGAATGGTATTCAATTCTCTTTTGTTAGCCGTGCTTCATGAAAACTCGACGCAAGACGATTGTACTCATGAAAACCGCCTTACTGTCTCCATTCATTCGACATGTCCACCATGTTCGAGTTCCCATTTTCGATTCGAGATATTGCCCATGCTTTTTCTTAGTAAGGACAGTCTCTCATTATGCGCAGGATTTTTATTTGTTTCTTCTGACTTTGTGAGATTTTTTCTAGATTTTAATCTTCTCCCTAACCTCTAAAGTTCATTTTCTCATGAGGCTTTGTTACTTTTGCACTTCTAGATTAATTTTTCTCAACCAAATCTTTCTATTCGTTCAGTATTTATTTCAGATTTTAATCCTCAACATTTAAGTTATGTTTATACTACTTCAACCACGTATAAGACTCGTAAATGAGTTCAGTGCAAGCTGACGGCGGTGGGGGGTGTAATTACGTGCGGGTAGTGCAATAACGGCGAGAAAAGTTTTTGACGGAATGAGTGGCGGTGAGCAAGGGGTGGGGAAAGGGGATGACAGGCAATTAAAAATGGTGCTGAGGGCGATGGATTTTTCGGGACGGGGGAGGGGGGTTGAATTATTCGGGGGAGGGGGATGACATGTGAGAGTGGAGAGGGGTGAGTAGAAAATTTTTCAGGGGTTGGAAAGATTTTAAAGGTGCCTCGGAGTATGCGGGGGTGGGTGGAAGGATTTTAAAATGAATTTAGGGGAATTGAAGTGGCTTTTACAATTTGATAGGGACTCCAATTTCAATTCCGAGTCTTTCGTTATTTTATTCGATGATTTTTTGACATAGGTGTGATGTCCAAATTCGGTGTAAACCTTCCTGAATAGTTTTTTTATTTCAAGTGGAAGCTTTTTAATCCTTCCAATTTGAGTTTTTTATTTTTTTTTTATTTTATGGAATTTGCAAATTTTTTCAAGTTCTTCGCTAATTGTTTACTAATCAATCGATGGAATTAAATCTTTTTTTTTCAAATGTAGGTATTGTTGCACTCTGTCTATTGACATTGAATAAAATTGAATTCATATATAAATTTTTCGAATTGTCGAATTTTTTCAAAACTTGGTTGTCCCACGATAACTAAAAAAATTGTTCTGAATTCATTGAATGATGGCTTTACAAAGTTGTTTGGATGTCTCTTCGAGTTCGAAGATGAAGGCGAAAATAATTGTTTTGATTTACAGAATAATTTTCAAAAATTTACTATTTTTTGAAAATGAGAATTTCGGAGATATTTTTGGATATCACGCTTCAAATTAATTCAATCACAGTTTAAAATATTTGTTTCAATGCCACCCTGTCAGAGTTAGAAGATCATTACGACAGCTATATCCGTTGGTTTATTTTTATGATGATTTCTTCAAATTTCGAATTTCTCGAAAATTTCCGTAACCCTCCAGTGGTCGCGCTATGGTCTGAACGCCACCGTTTTTGTTATTTTCACGATATCTCTAGAAATGTGATGAATTACGCTCTGCCTATTCACGAGTTCCTCAAATGATGTCCTGATGAGATTAAACACGGTAGGGTTGCCCTGCACCGACAATTTTTTTCTCAATTAATTTTTTTGTCGAGCGCGGTTAGCGAGAATGAGCGCAGCGCTCACCGTGCGACCACGCTCGTAGCGGAAATATGATAAGCGGCGCTGCCGACCCTCGTGAGAGTCCCCAGTAGCGTGTGCGGAGTGGGGGGTCGCTGGCCGGTGATATGTTTATAGTGTCGTGTGGCCCTGGCAACGCTGCGCTCGAGAATGTACGGACGGCGCAGCGCTTACCACGCGACCAAGGACGTTCGGCGAAGACGTGCGACTACAGGAGGGTTAAAAGTGAATTTTCCGACGGTTTCTTCAAATATGATGTTCCAAATTCACTCAATTATTTCATTTGATTTATACAAGAATTTTCACGAGAAATCTAACACAATTGATTGAAGAAGAAATATCATTTAATTGAACAAAATAATATAAAACGATAAATGATACACAACAGAACCTCGACCTTTCTTTCCCAAAAGGTCGACCTGAGACACATTGACGAAGTAAAAGGGAGCAACGTAGTGGATGTTGGTGTCGATCTTTCTGAATTTTATACATCCGTCGAGTGGGACATCCTCGAAGTACCAGCAGTGAGGTAATACAATACTCCAGACGGAGAAGTGAAAAAAAAATCACAATGATAATGAAGACGAAATTGCCTAGACAATGAGGGAATGCGAGCGAGGCATGAATTTTTAATTGAATTTTTTTTCAACTTCCAGAAACGAGAAGTATTACACGTGCTGTGATGAGCCTTACCTCGACATCACATTCAACATAACGATGAGAAGAAAAACCCTGTTCTACACGGTAAATCTCATAATACCGTGCATGGGGATTTCATTTTTAACTGTTCTCGTGTTCTACTTGCCGAGTGACAGTGGTGAGAAGGTGAGTAATCCTTGAAATTCGGAACAAATGGAGTTATAATTCTTTTTTGGAATTTTTTTCTCTGTAAAATGGTTTTGGTGGAATTTTCAGGAGTGGTCGACGCATGCATGTCGACATCGAATATTTCTCTTGCATTTTTTTCACTTAATTTGTTGAATTTCATTTAGAAAATGTTTGAATTGATTTTCGTTCATCTCGAAAAAAACAGTTTCTGGAAGATAATTCAATGATTAACAGGATCCGATGAAACAGTTTCGGATATGGAAACAAGTTATTTAACGAGATCGAAGGCGCGCTCCGCGCGTCTACCACTATGATTGATTTTAGATAATTCATCACGTTATTATTGTATGTTAATTCACGTATACAAATTTCTATACACGGAGAAAAAAATACATCGTAATTTTTTGAGAATCCTTCCAAAAATTAGTGTGCTGTTCACCAACGCTGGGACATAACAGGGAGTCATCGGAGAATTCGCATGTGGCACACTAATTTTTACGGGAATCCCCCGAAAAAGTGGCCGGAGTCCCACCAAAAATTAGAGTGCCACTTATGAATTTTTCGACGACCCCATGTTATGTTCCGCCGTTGGGGGACAGCACACTAATTTTTGGGAGATTTTTTTCTCAGTGTAGTATTACTAAGGAGAACTTCGTAAGAAATGATAAAAACTTCTTTTTGTCATTCATGCCCGTTAAGTGGCGTTTTCGTGGTGTGTTTTAGAACCCGTAAGTGGGATTTACCAGGCCATGGGCCGGTAAGTAAAAACTAGCTCCGATTTCACGATTTAACGGGCCATGCCCTGTTAAGTAAGACGTGAAGTGAGTCCCTCTTACACTGTAGCTCCTGCGGCTGAACTATAGTTTGCCACCAAAACCCAAAATTCACGAGGAAAATCGTAACAAATTCCGTTAAACAAAAGAGCGAAATGGATTTCATTATACCCGACAGTGACGAAGAGGAGTCACAAGACATTTTTAGTGAAGTGAATAATACAAGTGACGACGCAGCAAGTACGCAGCACAAATAGTTGAATTTTACCTTGTTACACATTCTACTTCATTTTTTCATTCTAGATCGGTCCGTTAATTTAGAATTTATAATT